ATGGGGGATTTGAACCCCCGACATTTCGCATGCAAAGCGAACACTCTAACCCCTGAGCTAAACCCCCATGTATGTCTTTGGAGGATGTGATGCGGATTTAAACTAATGCCATCCCATCGGCCAGCCGGGTAGAGCGGTCGATGCTACATATTAAGAGAATACACGCACACCCGCACACGCACACACGCCGGCGTCCCCTCACGGGTTCCCACATTTTGGCCTTTAGAAGCATGTTTTGTTTTCAGCACCGAGACTGACGTCTTTTCATTGGATAGCGCGGTCGATGCTAACAACAAAAACACCCAACACACACAAAATAATCTGTCTCGAAGCTCTCGCTATCTTCCACGCCACGATTACCTCCTCGATTGCTGTCTAGGTCGCTCTCTTGTCTTCCCGTTCCCTCCAAATGAGGAGGAGAGGTAGCGGGAGGACAAGAGAACGACAAAGGACGACAATCGAGGAGGGCATCATGGCGTGGAAGAGAGCAAGAGCTTCGAGCCTGCTGACCTTCCTCACGACAAACGACGCAGGGCTAATGAAGAACTGCTGAAAAAAGCTGTAAAAATGACGATGAGAATGACGGTGGTGAAAGCAAAGAGGATGATGATGAAAGCACTCCACAGCGAACTCGAGTGCAAGGTAACAAGCAGCCTTGGTAGACACTTGCAGTTCTTCTGTTGCGACCGTTCCTGTCTTTGATCCGGAGAATGGCTTAGCTTCCACCATGCCGCCCTCTCGCTGGGTCCCAGTTGATAGCATTTACAAGTGTTTTGCTGTGTTTTCAACCGCACTGGGACTGATGTCTTTTCATTGGTCAGCCGATTAGCGCAGGCGATGCTAACAATAGAGACACACACAAACGCCGGCTTGGCTTACCGTCGTGTCCTTCTCCGTCGACTCGGCGTACTCCGCGAACTCGGCCGTCTCCATGACGTGCCGCATCATGTTCTCTCCGGCATACGCCGCGCACAGCGCCCCGCCGTGACCGTCGAAGACGGCCACGAACGAATGCCCCTCTAGACCGGCAACGTTTGCGACGATGGTATGGGAGTCCTCCATGTCTACCCGCCACCCCTGCGGCGTCGTTGCAGTCGGCGGTTTGTGTGTGTGTGCGTGGAGGGTACACGATATGCAAGGGGCCCTCCCAGTGGAAACTCAAGGCTACATCGGAATTTTGGTCGCGTGGGGGAGGGGGGGGGAGGGTAGGCCTTACACGTCCCTGGCGGGGAAATTTGGTACGATATCCGCGGGGTTAGGACAGTTTTTCGCGCGCTTTTTTTTCAGCGCGCGCTCGCGCGCGCGCGCCGGACCTCTCGTAGAGCCAGTGTTCACTCGTGCGGCCTTGTCTTAAAGAGGCTTTCTCTTAGAGACCATGCCCGCTGCCAAACGACCACTGCTCGAGGAGGAGGAGGAGGAGGAGGAGGAGGAGGGCAGTGCCAACCAAGAGTAGCGAGTAGCGCTCCTGAGCTCTTGCGAGTTTTTCTTGGCACATACTACTGTACACAGTAACTGCACGCACGGCACATACTTTTTGCGCTCGAGACTGATTTTGCATGAAGAAAATTAGAATGCAGCACTAGCGGGAGCGTTGCTTCCACAGGACCAATCGCCGATGGCCAATCGTTCTGTGGGCACGGGGGGGCAGACTGGGGGGATACACGCCGAGGTTGGGTAGTGGGGGTGGCACAATAAGGCAACGCCGTCAGGTTTGTTGGAGAGGGGCTGGAGGCACGGCAGATATTATTTTTCAATACGTTGGGGTTGAGCAAGGGGTACTATTGTCACGCAGCGGGTTGCGGAGGGGGGTGCATTCTCTCGCATTCCTGAGGACCGAGCTTGGACGGACCAGATCTTTTGGAGACTATCCGCCGACGGAGAAATGGGTATGAGCCACCGCTCCAAAGACACAACAGATAAACCTCGCCGCACGTGGTCGAGGTGGTGGCAAACATGCCTCATCCGTTTTCTTCTCCTGCGGCAACTTGTAAAATAAAAAACAAGCGAGAACTTCCCCCGTCAATGCTTGACAAGAGGCGTGCACTTGCACATTGACGTGGGCACTGGAAGCATGGTGGCCTCTCCAAACACATCGTGCTGCATCCGGTGGTATCGCAGCAGCGAATGTATGACTTATTTCTCTCGCGCTACCGTTCTCTTTGGCGTGTAAGGTGACGTCGACTTGTCCCGGTTCTCCCATCTTCCGACACCTGGCATTAAGCCTATCCCCGGACAAACGGGACGGTAAAAAAGAGACAGCCGCCCCTTCCAAGGACGCATCGCGTGGCCGTTCCTTCGGCGTGGCGGTGTGTGCCCACCTGCATCGCCGAGGCTCCGAACTCCAGCCCATTGCTCCCGGTTTCCGTCTCTGTCTCCTTCTCTGTCACCGGCTTGTCCAACAGCGTCCCCTGAGCGTGCAACAACACAAACGCGGAGGTTGCGCGTACGGCAGCGAGCGGCAAGTGATCGTCTTGGGTCAGTCCCACAAAATCACTGCCAAGAGAGTTTTTCCAAAATGCGTTGCGTGCGTGTGTTCCTCCTATTTATTCTGGCGCCAGACTACAGGTCTTTCGGTGTGAAAATGACGTACATACAACTGTACCGTAAGGTTGCGGGTTAGCGCACGGTCCGGGGTTTCCGCACGGTCCGGCGTCATCGCACAGGGGTGCGAAGAAAATCAAATGGCATCATTGTTTATATCGATTTCCGCACAAGGTCCGGAGTTACCGCACAGGGGTGCGATGACTCGCAACCTCCAGTAGGATAGTAGTTGAGTGCCAGCGATTTCGGGGCAACTTTCACTCTTGCGACCATGCCAGTGTTGGCCATGGCAACTTTCACCCCTGCAACCATGCCGGTGCTGGCATGTAGCTCTGCTGTATGGGTAGGTAGGTCATCGTCGCATACCACAAGTGGAGGTATGAGGGACATGAAACACATTGGTATGTCGATTGGATCGGCAAACTTGAACAATGTCAATTCAACCAGAACACGAGAAAAAAAACAGCAGCCATCAGCCAAAACAACTAACAGCAGTTAGTACCATGGAACAGCACCATGGAGCAGCAGCACTGTTGTATTTACTCCAATGTTCTACTTCTTTCGCTACAAAACAAATTTCAACCCCGTCACTACCAGAAACACCCAACAGCGCCAACCTCCGTACTGCTGGGATGCACACACAAGCATGTTCGGGCAGCCAACCTGCCACTACTGGTACAACCCAAGAGAGTGCGAGCCAGAACGTTTACAGATCGTCCCCTCCAGCAGCCCCAACCCATGGCCCATCCAACAGCTCTACATCGCTGCCAACGGGTCCGCAGGGGCAGCTACCACATCCGCAGAGGAAGGGCCGCCACCGCTAGCTCCAGAGATCGCGCTACCCTCCGCACTAGAAACCTCTGACATGATTGCCAAGCGATTGTGGGTCGCGTGTAGGCACAGCTCGACGGCGGGCAATTACCCATGTTTTCCGCCCTCGGCATTTCGTCTTTCGCCGCGCTATATTTTGCGTTTTTTTTTTTCCTGTGTGTGTGCTTCCTCGAAAACCTAGCATCCATCGGGTTAACTGCTGTCGTTGGCTGACGTGCGCGCGCGTGTGTGTACATTTGCGTGTGGAGCCTGCAACCGCAGCAGAAGTGAAGTGTCCGAGCGTCTGCAAAGTCATTTCTTTCAAGCACCGCACCTGGAGTCATCGCACAGGGGTGTGAGCCATGTATCGAAACCAAACCATTTTATTCAATTTCCGCACAGGGTGTGGAGTCATCGCACCCCTGTGCGACGAAAACCAAATGGCGAATATGTTTAAAAAACGACCGCACGGGGGTGCGCTAACCCGCAACCTACGGTACTGTTACTGTTCCACTGCTGTTACGCGAGAGGAGGTAACTTTTATTTTTTGGTTCGTCCGTCGTAACTGCCCCTACCCGGGAGTAGGCCAAGCTGAATCAGCTTGACTGCATCTCGTTTTCTGCATGAGAGCGCCGCGAGAAGGGGTTGGTCTGCAACTTACCGCAGCAGTTTTTCTTGTGTTTTGTTTTCGTAACTTGCGGGTGCCGGTATGTGAGCGTTGCATGTAACGGGGTTGCCTCTGTAGCGCGCACAACTACAAGACCACAGAGACCAAAAGAAGTTTCCTTGGAAGAAGGAAACGTGATGTTTCAGGCGATTGAGAACGACAGTTGCGGAAATTCTGCCGCCAAAGACGCAGTATTGCAAGCACGGGCCAGGTCGTGTTTCCTGTCATGCAACAGGAGGTGGGGGGGGAGAGGAGCGAATAATCCGGCATATGTCGATGGCGGCGCAACTGCGGTTGTGTTGTCCCAAAGCGTGCGGCAAGATTGAATTTTTGCTCCCTTCCATGGAAGTAAGACGACAACAATGTTGACCTTCACGACGCCCGTGTGTTCGGACTTACGACACCAAAGCTTGTTGTGCTGCTTTCTGTGGCATGCGACCGCGTCGTGTTGACTGTTCTTCAGCTGGAGCACGTGCTTACGGATGAAAATGACTCCTGCACAACCACTTTCGTATGGAAGAATGTGCGTGGTAGGTTACAAACAGACGCAGTACAAGTCACTTTTTGACACCAACGTGAAAACAAAATGGAAGACCGATGCACGCACGCCACCACGGGGCGCATTTAGTAGTGAAGCGCGGAATAGCTAAGGCTGGGGGTGAATCACCAAACACAATAAAAAAAGTAGCTTCACGCAAAACGCTGAATTCTGTAGTTGTACTTGTAGTGCTCCCCCGAAGGGCGCAACCAAGTGTTGAAAACGTTGAAACGAAGTCCAAAACCCACAACCGATTTTCACCAGGAGATCAGGCCAGTGCTGCAATACCCCACCACGCCATCAACTCACCATTGCACAATGACACCGTCACGGGTAGATAAGGATCCTCGACTTATAAGCCAAACAGAAGAGTTCGTTGTAGACGCAACTGCGGCGAAGAAGCTGGACTGCTGCTGCTGCTGCTGCTACTGCTGCTGCTGCTGCTGCTGCTGCTGCTGTTGGCCTTGTCGCCGACACTGAGGTTGGTTCGTTCCACAGCAAAAATGGAGGCAGCTGTTTTTCTTCCACGGCCGAGGCGAAAATATCAACAACAAGCGGTCGATCACGTGTGTCCAAACCTCCCCGTCGCTGTCTCTCCAGAACCTGTTGCCTGTTCTACTCTCCAATTGCGTCGTTCTTGCGCCGTCGTGCAGTGGTGGTTGGCGCGTCCCGTTGTTGTCGTAGCATTGTTCTCGACTTCCGACGTGCTGAAGAATGGGCGGGATATATACCGCGCCTATGCAATCTGCGGAGCCGCTGGGCCTCGTTTCCCCGCGTGTCCCTGCTTCTCTGTTCTGCCTTGCTGCTTCTCTGTCAGCAGTGCCACGTGCTCTCCTGCTCTCTCCCTATCCCTGTTAGGGTGCATACTCGTGTGGCAGATTCCTAAGGGCGAGCTAGGTGGCGAGCTCTTTGCCGCCTTCCTCGAGACTTCATTCCAGAGGGAATCTCTCACAGCAGAGGTTCCGAACTACCTATCGCGCGTACAAGATATTGCACAAGTGTTCACACGCGCGCGCGACCCAACACATTGCCCAGCAGTAAGACCGACCACCTTCCGCCCAACCACCATGAGTCTCAACGCGGTCCAGGGCCAGGGAGCGAAGGAAGGAGAGAGGGCGCGGCTCTTCCGCGCGCCCATGACCGGCTACAGCAACGGCCGGAGCGAATCGCCAACTGATCTGGAGCAACCTCCTGCCAGGTTCGTTCGGGTTTGCTGGCTCTTTCCTTCCCGCTCGTAAGCTGCAGCTTCCGCTATTCTACCGATGGCATTTTTTTTTTTTCTCCCATCATTTGGACTCTGCCGTCTGCCCCTCTGGCCCCTATCCTCCACTTCTACCAGCTAGACGACCCAACCGGGGTCACATAGGAGGGGGGGTTGGACCCTCTCCTGCGGTCCTTTTTTTTTATTGTCTCCCATTATTGGACTCTGTCGTCTGCCCTCTGGCCCCTTATCCTCCACTTCTACCAGCTAGACGACCCTACCGGGGCCACATAGGAGGGGGGAAATTACTCCCTCCTGCGGTTCCTGCCTGATATTTTTTATCGCGAGAAGGGTACAGCAATCCCTCCCCTCGCGACTTATGAAGTCGATCAAGTTTACTAACAACGAGCTTTGCAGCGCGTCGCTTTCAATGGAGACCAGGATTTAATTAGACTAGCGAGAACTCTCTCTGTCGGGGCTCGAACCCATGACCTGGCCCTTAGCAGGAGGCGAGGCTACCCATTAGACCGCCGGGGCGGCCGGTGGTTCTGTACCATTCGGGTTCCGTTCCTTCGGCAAGAGCTTTGGGCCCCGTGAATATGCCGCTCTAGCATTTATGTTTACGTATTGCGTTCCCTGGTGGTACAGGATGAGTTTTGTGTGAAGTAATGTTGGATTTGTTGTTACACGTGATTGATTTCCTGGTGCCCCCAGGTCCCTTGGGTTTCAGTCTCCGCACATTACTGGCGGTGTGTTTTTTGTGTTCCTGTGTCCTACTGCCCGCCGCTCGGAGATGTAAGGTTTTAAGATGATGTGCGGTGGTATGTATCTACTGCTGGGGTTCGTTCGATGTCCGACAAGGCCGTAAGATCGGGTCCGGCTCACGTGTTGCCAGCACTGCGCTGATGCTTGCGTATGCACAGCTATGTTGTGTTGCGGACACGACGCGGCCCTCGATTCCCGCCCGCTATGCACACATGTAGCAGTGTTGCCGCGGGTGACACAAGACACCACACCCCCTGGACCGTTTCCAAATGGTCGATTGATCCACAGCACGAAGAGTGGCGGTGCCGAAACATGGGGGGGGGGGGGGGGCGTTGGACACTTCTCGTCGAGAGCTATTGTATCGTACATGCTCTCTGTTGTGTACTGTATGTAGTCGAGCGTTGGTGCAAGGGTGTGTGATATCTTGTGTCACAGACGGCGATTTTGTTCCCGATCAGCGCACGTACGATAGCGCGTCGTACATCCCCCCTGTTTAGGTGCAAGACCCCACGGGAGGTCGGGGTGCTTTGTGCTTGCCGTCAGCGTGCCCTGTTGTCCACGCCTGTCTTGCATAATCAAATAGCACCGCGGTGAAGAGCTCGCTTTCCAGCCAATGCTCCCAACAGGTAATCACTTCAAAGTACCAAGGGAAGATACTCCTGGGTTTTTCTGGCCAGTTGGGGCTGTGATTTCCATTTTCGTCTTAAAAACGAGACTCGGACAGCTCGTTCTCGACCTTAAAGACATTCCTCTTTGAGAAGCGGTGGGCTTATTTCATCGATCAAGCTTCAACTCCTGGATCTCAAGCTATTGCTGAGAAACACTCACTCCAACCGCTCACGTATCGCCGGTGCAGATACGTACATACGGCATAGCTGCGGGAAAGTTGGAACCTCTCGCTCAACCAAATTCCCGAATCTCAAGCTATTGCTTCCGAAATATGTAACCCTACCGCGCTCAAGTAAGCTTTTGGTAATAGATCCCAAGCTTTTGCCTGAGAGATGTACACTACCGCTCAAGTATCGGCCAGCGCACGGCCCATAGGGCTTTTGCCTGAGGTGCTCTGCGGGAAGGTGGACCCTATCGCTCAACCAAATTCATGGGTCGCTAGCTTTCTCTTTTGGGTCTCAAGCTTTGGTTGAGACACACTGCTTCTACCGCGCTCAAGTATCAGCCGTGTTGCAAGCTCCCTAGAGCTGAGCTGATGTGGTCTGCGGGAAAGTTGGGCCCTCTCGCTGAACTTTTTTGCAATGGAATATGGTCGGCGGAATCGCCCTATTGCCGTCGTCCCCCCGCCCTCGAGGGGATAGAGGGCTGGTCTTGATGCACCTACGTTTTTCAACATCACCTTAAGTGATTCATGCAATGGTCGCCCGGGTTCAACAAGTCCACTGTGGCGGCGAGATGTTTGTTTTGCGTATTTCGACGGCGAATGTGTCCTGAATGGAAGGGAGCATGTTAGAATTGATGAGAGCTTTGTCCACCTTTGTCCCGGCCGGGTCTTTTTTTGTGTCTCTGTACCCCCTGCTCTGCATTTCTCCCGATGCCAGCGTTACACGAGTACACGAGATCATTGCGCGAAGACGACAATGTGACACTGTCACAGAAGCAGTGTGATGGCATCGTCCATGAGAGAATGAAGCCGTCACTGTGGGGAGGTGATGGTTGCGCGTAGACAAGATGACCGCGTCGCGTATTTGACCTCTGTCCACTCGTCCAGCTTCGTTCTCTTGACCCTGCATCCTGTTTTTGCGTTGGCCGCGCCCTCTTGACGCTGCCTACTGTCAATGCGCCCTTCTCCGCAGCGGGGGGCAGCCGGATAGCGACGCTGACAGCGAGAGCGAGAGCGATGTGTGGAAGGCCGCGGTGCTCGGCGCCTTGGATGGCGTGCTTACAAGCTTCGCGGTCGTTGCAGGCGCTTCGGGTGTGTATTGTGTGTGTTTCGTGTCTTTTTTGTTAGCATCGATCTCGCTAACCGACTGACCAAGATGAAGAAGAGGCCAGTCTCACGGCGGTTAAAGACGGAAAATGCTTCTACAGCCATGATCTGGGACTGCGCCATTGGGGAGGCTAAGTGCGTGTGTGCGCGCCTTTTTTGTGTGTCATGAAGTAGCGACGACCGCGCTAACCGGCTGACCAATCCACATAGGGGATGTTATACCTTGCGCAGCCTACGGCAAGCAGGACTTTTTGTCGCCCTCGGAAAGCTCTGGGATGTTTCTGCCCGCTCCCTTTCGTTCTCGTGAGGAAAACGTTCGCACGGCTGACTATCCTTTCGCTGCTCTCGTCGCCTCTTACCCTTACCACCCTCTCTGTCTGTCTCTCGTGCCGGTCTTGGTACACACAGGGGGGGGGCTTGGCACACAGGTGGTGTTGATCGTGGGGGTGTCCAACATCGTAGCGGACGGGCTGAGCATGGGGCTCGGGGAGTACCTCTCGAGCAAGGCCATGAACGAGTACATGAATATCGAGCGGAAGCAGGAGGAGTGGGAGCTCGCGAATCACAGAGAGGTGCGTGTACCGTATTTTTTTTCTGAGCCGCGTGTGTGTGTTTGTGTGTGTCTTTGTTGTTTGCGTCGACCGCGCTAGCCGGCTGACCACTGCAAAGACGTCCGTTTCAGTGCGCCCAAAGACAAGAACATGTTTGTGCTGTACAGGCCGGGGGGGGGGGGGGGG